TTCATTATAAGTACTAAAGAACCATGAAAGAAATTATCTCACACATGACTTAGAATTGACAGTAGTTGTGTTTTCTTTCAAAATTTGAATGCATTACTTACAGGAGATAGATGTGAAGTTCTTAATAATCACCAAAGTTAAAAATATATATTTACTAAAAATATTTAATATGAGATGGAGATGATGACTAAAATTTATTAAAAACTGTGACTAAGATATACAATAACATCCAAAAACGCCAAATATTGTTGGAAATGCATTAAACAGAAAATCTTCAAACAATTTAAATTGTTTGATTACTTGGTAAAAATAGTTAATTAAGAATGTGGAAAGACTAAAACTATGAGGGATTGATTGCAGAGATGAGAATGTTATTCAATTGAATCAATGGACATATTAGTCTACTTTAAAAGGCAGAATTCGAGATTCATTGGTCAACTATATTAATATTTAGAAAATCTTAAATCAAATCAGGCTAGGTAGTTCAGAGGAATACATGATAGATGAAAATCAATTACAAAAAATATTAGGGCAGAATTTATGTTTCAAATATTGATATTTTGATAAAGAAATTCGAGAAGCACATTTAGCAGGTTATACAGTACATTTCGTAAGCAATAAAAAGTATCTAGAAAAAAAAAATATATTTTTGGTGTCCAGGACCAAAAACAATTGTTACATAATTGTAACTAAATGCCATACATGTCAATTAGTTAAAGCAAAACATTAAAGATTGGGTGATCAGTTACAAGCATTGCATATTAGAGTAAAAAATGGAGAGAACAATAAATTTTATGACTTTTTTGCTTAGATCAAAACAAGGACATAATGTTGCATGCATTGTTTAAAATTGTACAATATATGGCAAGCCGTGATGCCTTTTACAAAGAAACCGAATGAAAGTTATGCCTCATTATCCAAAGATAAGGTGTACACCCTAACCAAAGTGAGGCACATCTCTCCTAAAAAATGCCTCCAACTTTTTAGGCTATATGTAATTTTTTTAACAAAATTAAAAGCAATATCAATTTACCTCACTTATCAACCTTCACATCTAACACAATAAAAATTAAATTAAATTAAAATATATCAATAAAAAAATTATGTAATTGAAATTCTAACTATCAATATAGTTATTATTTCAATTTAAATTTTATTAATGAATATTTATTAAAAAGTAGAAGATAACTGAGATTAAAGATAATGAGGAATGTGAGAATATAAAAACGACTAAGAATAAAGCATAAGATAAATAATTATAATGTTGAAGATTTTAATGAAAATCGATTAAATGATGAGAATAATAGCAGCTTTTAAATTTATAAATTCAAATGTTGATGACTTACTACATTCTTATTTAAGTGATGGGGGTAGCATGAGTGGGAGAGAAAAATTTATGTTAAATATAATTTAATTGCTATGTTTTAATGTTTTAATATTTTATTTCAATATCTTAACTTCAATAATTTAATATTTGTATAATCTATTCTATTTCATAATTTGATGTTAGGATATTGACATGTTATTTCTAATTATGTGCACTTTATTACTTTTTTAAGTCAGAATATTGTTTTATTGCTTTAAATATGTTAATAAGTTAGAATATTAATGTGTTATTTCTTACTTCATATTTTATAGTTTATATAATATTTATTAATTTACGCAATTTTTTTAAATTTGAGGCTTATGTTTTGCCTCATGAATAAAAAATGCCTCATTACTCAATTAAGCAATTATAAATCTTGGAACTATATGGATCATTATAAATAGATTGACTAAGTTTGTTTGCGCATTTATTGTCAATTACATAGACATATCATGTTAAAAACTTAGCAAAACTATATATGGATGAGATTATACAACCGCACAGGGTACCAAAACTCATAATTTTAGATAGAGAATGAAAATTTATAGCCACGCTATAGAAAAAAATTTAGGAAGCTTTGGGCACAAGATTGGGTTTCAGTATAACATTCACCCTCAGATAGATAGTCAATCAAAAAAGACAACTAAAGTTCTAGAGTATATATAATATTTATATAATTTTGATTTTGGACGAGAATGGGTGTTGCATATACCTTTAATAGAATTTAAATATAATGATAATTTTCAGACAATCACTGGAATGGCTTCATATGAAGCTCTTTATGGAAGAAAATGCAAAACATTGTTGTGTTGGTTTGAAACAAGAAAAAAAAAAAATATTTATGCAGAGTTAGTAGATGATGCTATCAAAAAAATCTGGCTTATCAAATATAAATTAAAAGTTATATTTTCTATTTAGGTGGAGAATGAGAGTCACATATGTCATTAATAGATTTTATATATAATAATAGTTTTCAAGCAAGCATTGGAACGACTCCAAATAAAGCTCATTATGGAAGAAAATGCATCACCGTTTTGTTAGGTTTAAACAGGAGAAAGAAATTAATGTTACAGAATTATTAGATGATGTTACTAAGAAAATCAAACTGAATGGATATAGATTGAAAGCTGTTCAAGATAGACAATTAAAAAATTATGATACTAGCCACAGAATAGTGAAATTTGATGTTAGAAAGTATATTTTTATCAAAATCAATCTAATGAAGGGTGTGCAATGTATTTTAATGATAGAAAATTTGAATCCTCGACATACACAATCATATGTAATTGTTGAAAATTTAAAAAATGTAGCTTATAGATTGGCTCTACCAACACACAAGCAAAAGTACAATAAGTATTTTATGTCTCTATACTTCGAAAGAGCATTGATGATGAATCCAGTGAAGTTATTGAGGACTCAATTGATATACAAACTGATTGACCTATATAGAAGAACCGGTTAGGGATTTTTTATTTATTCAAAAATAATTCTTTTCATTGAAAATTATCAAATATTAATATTAACTTTTACTAAATAATGTTATAAATTGAAGAGTAGAGAATGAAATCATTGACTTGGAAGAGGAAAAATAAAGCAATTGAGATGCGTCTTTTAAATTGTAATTCTTATAGTTTTATAAGAAATCAAACTTAGAGTAATTCATTTTTCAGGACCTTGATTACAGAATAATAATAGATTTGGTAGAATTGACCTGAGATAGAACAACTAAAAATAATTTTTAATTGTGCAAGGAAAAAAAAAGCAGAAGACCAAGGTATGAAACAAATTAAAGAGAAATTTTAAAGATTAAGCGTTATTATTTAGAAACAATATCCTTAGTTTTATGATTCTGTGAAAAGAAAAATGGTTAATAATGAAATTATGGAGATAAAAAATGCTCGTGAAAAATATTGGCATAATTATCAAGATATAAAAATTATGTTATCAAGTTTGTTAATGATCATGTAAGACTAAATTCTTAAAATTTTATTTTACAAGAATAGATTAATTAAATAAAAGTAAAAATAATTAAAAATTATTAAATTATAATACATTAATTATATGCTAAATACCATATTTAATTATAGATTAAAGAAGGATTCAAGTGAAGAAGCAAGTTAAAAAAAAGAGAGTCAAATTAACTTAATAAGGTAGCAGTTAGGTGAGTAATTACTTTATACCTGTACTAAATTTTTTATATTTAAATTATATTCATGTTTCCAAGGATTTATGTCATGACAGAATAGATAAATTAAATGATCGTTCAATATTTTTGAATGATTTTAGACATTGCACTTCCACTAAAAGTTTAATACATATTTCAATTGATTAGAAGAGAAAAAATCAAGATCAACCGAAATCACTGTTTAAGTCAAGTATAGGAATCGCCCTTTTTTGGTTCTAGCTCAGGGCACTATTGTACATGTGGGATAAAATGAAAATGGAAAAGGTATAGAAGGTGAAATGGAAAATGGCGTACTTTAATTGGTATAAATTTTTAAATGATAATTCTAGGATAACTGCTCAAGTGAAATACAAATGAAAATATTTATAAGATCCTGGTTAAGGAAAAATAATAAATGTTTAAAATCTTACAAATAATGTTAATCATCATTTTCATTCAACATTCATTTTAGAGCATTTGCATATAAATTTATAAAAGAGTAGAGCTATAAGTATTCACTATGTTATTGTAAAACTTAACTTATAGTTTAACTATTTATTTTTTTAAAAAAAAACATTACATTAAAATGAGTGATAGGAGACATAATATTTATAGAATAATAAGAGCAAATGAAATTGGGTATTTTGAAATCGTTTTAAAATGTGTTAAGTTTATTTTTATTTGTTGCAGGTAAATTATTTTTATTGTTAAGTTTGGAAGATGTACTAGATATTTTATGATTTAGTGACTCCTTAGTACTTCTTGATTATTTTAATTTTTTGTGATTTTTAAACAGATATGACACTACCATCCGACTATTTATTCTTGTCTTAGCTCCAGACCAAGTCATGACAGAAATTGAGGTGTGAGGATCGAAGGCATAGAAATATCAAAAGTTTGAGCTGCAAACATTGGATCTTCCTAGATGGTTGAGACCAAGCACTTGATTTTGCTCAAGGAAGATGTGAAGATCCTGCTAAGGCAGGCTTGTAAGAGACTTTGGCATCATAAGGAGGGGATTAAACGGGGCTCCATTTCACTCGCATTCCTTTGACATGTTACCTTCGATTAGAGTTTGGTAAATGTCAGAACCAATTTATACTAAAACGACTTTGACATAATTTGGAAGTGTTGAGCATGTTTCAGAGTATGCCGTACTTATGTCTATGTCTAACATGGACACAAAGGTATTTAAAGTGTCAATGCTTCGTAGCAGATATCCATTTTCCATTTCACAAATGAAAACTCATGAATCCATCTATAAGTTTTTACCCAATTTATTTTTGAACCAAACTTAAATTTGTCTACTGCAATTAACCAACTTTTAGCCTCGAATTATTCTTTTTTCAATCAAAAGATTGAAACATGAGCAAGTTTAGTTAAAGGTTAAATTAGTTTTAAAAAAATTGAAATCTTTTAAGACATTTATATTAGTGAAACAAATAAAAAAAAATTTAAAAAAAAACTTACTGCTTGCTTTTCTAGGCTATATCTATTCGTCACTTCCTGAAACCGTGCCAAAGCCTGCAAATGAATTCGTTAGAAAGAAAAAGTTCTTATAAGATCAATTCAAATTGAGGTAATTCACTTTTCTGTATTCTGTTTCAAACTGTCGCAGGTCATTTCTCTTTGCTAAAATTTGTGCCTCAATCTCCATAAGCATCCGAGTGGAATCTTTATAAGAACTTGCGCTCATTGCCTCTATTGCATAAGTAGCAGGCTTAAAAAAATTGTCACCTAAGAAAACAGAATAAAAGGCCAGCAAAATTAGACAAAAAACTGTTTACTTAATCGAAAAGCCTAAAAGAAAAAGTAACATCATTAGAGCTGACCCCAAAATAGTTGGGATAAGGCTAATGATGATGATTATTAGTGCTGACCATAAACTGCAAAAATATGGGTGCCAGGTTTTAGTTCAGAAACTTCGCATGGCTGGAGACCTTCCAACCTTTTGAAAAACGCAGCATCTGGATCTTTCGCCATAGCTAACTGTAAATCCGAATTCTAAACTCATAAAAACCTCAAAACAAAATCCATGATTATTCCTATGGTACAGTATCACAAACCGCATTCACTGCAGAGTCCATGCGGTACACCTGGAAATGTAAAAAGTACATCCCTGCTGAAGTAAACTTGCCAGTCTTTTCACAGTCTTCCTGCAATCAGTACTAATACCAAGTCATTTAATGATCTTCTCTTGCAACTCACCAGTAAAGTGATAGAACAAGAGGCCACTTTAAAGATGAGGGAAAATTATATACGTAGCACACAATTTTTATGTATTTACATATCTAACACCTAAAATTTCATATTTAGGCACATTAGGACTTTGGAGCTTTAAGCAAGTGCATGAAAAGTTAGATTTCACTTTTAAAAAGAGGTAATAGTCATTTTTCTATGTGATATTAAAGATTTGATTTCTATGTGTAAATATGAAAGTTTGCGTGATAAGTAAAAATTGTCTACTATGCATGTAAATGCCCCAAAGAAATAATGAGAATTGTTTACTTTAACCTCGTAAAACCCATCCAAGCAGCAAAATAGAAAAGATGAGTAGAATATATGAAACAATAAAATCCTACAGTGCAACCTTCTTATGCAGTCACAAAAATTAAATAAGCAAAAAAAAAAGACACAAGAATCCACCATAGTCACCTGTAATGCTAAGCCATAACCACCATTTGTCTCTTGTTCGAAGTACAGAAGCTTTACGAATAACAAACCAGGTCAGTAAATCTAATAATTGAAAGCACAAATTAGTAGAACAAAAAGAACAATTAATGGCAAAGCAATAGACAATAGTGAAATTATTGCTAAATGTTGGTTAAAGTAGAAATTAATTCAGGAATTATCATACTTTAAATTTACTTTGCGCAGAAGATGAAACTCTGATTACTATCCCTGACTGTGCTTGCTGCTCGTTAATAGTAACACCAAAAAACTGGGCAGATTGTTTGTCGACCTGTAAGAAGGTAGGTGGTTGAAAGAAGAAAAAAGACATAGAAATTCAATGAAAAAGAAAAAAAAATGTTCAAAACACCTTTCCACTAAATGATGTCCCAAGAGGAAGAGGTCTAACAGTAACAGTTCCATTTAAAGCTTCTTCAAGTACAGCCGCAGAGACTGATGTCTTTATAGGAACACCCAGTTTACTGCATATTTTAAGAGCAATATATAAGCATCCAAATCCCCGGATTTGTAATGAGAAAAACAAATAAGATGGCATGGCTATCCCAACTATTTAAAAGTGTATAGTGAATCCTGCTCTAGCCATTCCCTTCATTAAATTTTGAAAAAAAATGGAGTATAACAATCAATTCCATTTTCTGAAATCAAATTAAAATCTTAGAGGTCACCTGAATAATGCTGCAAACATTGTGTTGACAGTTCCAAGATTTGATAGATCAATCTCCATATCCATAGCATCGTGTTCTAAAGCCTATGAAAATGACTTAAAAAATTCAGCTAAATACAGAAATGAAGAATTGTAGTGAAAGCAAAAGCTAGAACCATCAAATACAAAACATTTTGCATGGCTGGTACGCTAGATATGACCAAATTTCGAGAAATATAGCAGTTAGACTCATCATGCAAGAAGTTGCTCATTAAGATGCAAAATGAGGAAGTATTACATATCATTCTTATCATCCATTTATAGATAGATACAATCCGCATGATCATCATTTAAATTTAGAAAGAGTTTAAACTTCAATTCATTGTGCAAATATGGAAAGAAATCTTGCTCCCCTAAGGAAAAATTAACACGATCATCTTCAATCAAGGGTGGAACAAATAACTAAGAAATTGATAATCTCAAGCAATAAGATAAAATGACTGCCTCCATATAATCACGGTTAAATTTTACATATTTGGAGGCATGCTTGGAGAATTCCATCTAAACAACTTTTGCTCTCTACCTTCCATCAAAACTAGAATGCAAAGTAAGTTCTCGATACTTTAAAATTGAAGACGTGGGTCGTCCTCAAACGAAAGCGGGATCATGTCCCACACTCAAACAATTCTATGCGACCCGCTGCTTCGCCTAGACCGGACCAGTCAAGATTTGCTCCCTTCCGAGGAGTTGATCGGTCTTCTTCATGCTTGGACAATTCCATCTCAACAACTTTTTCTCTCTACCTTCCATCAAAACTAGGATGCAAAATAAGTTCTGGATACTATAAAATTGAAGATTGACGTGGGTCGTCCTTAAATGAAAGTGGGATTGTATCCCGCAATCGAACAATTCTATGCGACCCGTTGTTTCGCCTAGACCGGACCAGTCAAGGTTTGCTCCCTTCCAAAGGGTTGATCGTTCTTCTTGGGTCACTCCTAGTTATCCTTTTATTATATATTTATATTCCTAATGTTTTAGGTTCAGTCTTTTTTTGTGTTTTGTGTGGGGAGAGCCGCCAACGTCTCTTCTTCCATTCGAGGGTTTTATCTTAAGGTTCCGGGTGGTGCTTCGGCTATATCTTAGTTTCCATGTGGTGCTTACCCTTCCCCAACTCCTCTACATCCCTCCCACTTTGCTGCCATGCAGCACTCCTCGCTGCAGCCACCCCAACAACAGCCCTTCTGTAGTTTTCCAGCAGTTCCTTGCAGTCCAGTCCTTTTTCATCACTGCCCCCGCTCAGGACAGCCTTTCTTTTGCTGTCCACCAGTCCGCCGCATCCCTCATCACCGTTACAGCCCTCCATCGTTGCTTTCATTTTCGCTCCAGCCCACTCTTTTCGCTGCCTCGCTACTCCAGCCCTCCATCTTCACTATCGTTACTGCTCCAGCCCTCCCGTTTGCTGCCATGATCCTGAATAGCTGTCATGTCAATATCTGTCATGTACCCGAGAAGCCATTGTCTTATTGTTATCAGCTTGCCAACGACCTCATCCACCATCCCACCACCTTCCAAACCCTCGTAGATCACCACCACCGCCCTAAGATCCACCCTAGTTTGAGTTGATATTGTCATTTGTCTCTTTTCAGATTTTCGTGCGTGTTGTTATATTTTCCCTTTCAAGTGTGTGGTGGAAACCACTTATTTGCTCCCAGTAAAAATATATTCTTTTGTTTATTGGGTTTTGGGTTAAATCTGGTATCATTTGGTATCAAAGCTAAACTAACCTAAGTCTTAAAAATGTATGTATGTGTATGTATATACACACACACACACATATATACATACATATCTACACACACACACACATACACACACACATATATATATTAATAGAAAATTTTATTGAATTGGGACTCCTGGTTTAGAAATTTAGTTTGAAGGGAAATAGGAGTAAATGAAGAGCACAAACTAAGAAATGAGATTGACCAGAGTAAAATTCGGTAAGATAAGTTTGAGTTTATATTATAATTTAATTAATGAATTATAAATATATATAATGAATAGCAAAATAAAGTTAATTAGGATTTCATCAAATAAAGCAAGCGACAGAAATTAAAACTCAAATAATGTAAAGTTAATAATTAATTAAAATAATTTGAATGAATTAAATTTTAATAATATGAATATCATGTCTATTATAAGAAAGTTTTAGAAGAGTCGAGATCAACCCAAAACTAAGAACAAATAAATCATTATCGACGTAAGTGCTCTTACTCTTAAATTTATATTAATATTTTGTTTCTTCTCAAACAATTGCATTAATAGTTATTGATATTTATAAATTCATTTATCAAATTATTCTAATTTATAAGCTCTCATTTTTATTGGTTATATCTGAAAGGTAGGCTTCCTCATAGTAAAACTTATATCATGTTATTTAAAATACATATATTATATTGTATGCCGTAAGATAAGCATATGAATTATATATATATATTATATATATATATATGCTTTTATGTGATGTAATCTTCATTTATGATACTAGTGATGGAAAGCTAAAGTACCTGTGCACGTAAATAAAAAAGGAATTTAATATTGAAGTAGCTTAATTGGAACAAATTTTTAGACGTTGCTCCTTTGACGGCAGTATAGACAGAATCGTATAAATATGTTATTGATATAGTAAAACCCATTAAATAGCATGAATTATCGTAACTAGTCATATTCAAAAACTATCAAATGTTTTATATTGGTTTATTAAAAGCTTAAAGAGCATGCATATTGTTTTCTTTCTCATTATATTGTCGCAGTTTACGAGTGTGAGTATTTACTGATTTTGATTAGCTCATTGTTGCTTTAAACTAACTTTTCAAGTGTAATTAATTAATTAAAAAATGAGCAATAGAAGAGAATATTTATAAAAGGCATGGATAATCTGAAATGAAGTAAATTTAATTGTAGTTATTTAATTTAATTTTTTTTATTGACACTTTCATTTATTGAATGTCAGTTATAAAAATGAATATAGAAAATTTATTTCTCATCGTCTGACCGTCTATACAAACTTTGGATGATTTCGAACCCCGGGACATGTAGTAACATTTTAGGTTTATTTTTTGTGTCTTGCATCGATATAGTCATCAACATCTATTCTTCTCTTCAACGATTGTATCATAGGGTTCTAGGCAGTGCTTCGGCTATATCTTAGTCTCCAAGTGGTGTTTACCCTACCCTAACTCCTCTGCATCCCTCCTGTTTTACTTCTACGCATTCCTCCTCGCTAAAGCCGACCCGACAATAGCCCTTTTGTTGTTTTCCTGTAGTTCCTAACTATTCATGCCTTTTTCCCTCGTTGCGCCCAACCAAGGCAGCCCTTCTTTGGCTATCCGACAGTCCACCGCATCTCCCATCACCGTTCGAGCCCTATATCCTTGCAGTCATTGCCATTCTAGCTTTCCCTTTTCGTTGGCTTGTTGTCCAGCCCTCCATCTTCATTGTCTCAACCGTTCTAGCCTTTGCTTCCATTATCCCGGACATCCATGCCATGTCGATATTTGTCGTGAACTTACTGTCCGAACTCCAAGAAGCAATTGCCTTGCTATTTTTAGCTTGTCAACCACCTCATCCACCATCCCACCACAATCCAAAACCCCGTCGATCACTGCTGCCACTCTGAGAAGTACCCTAGTTTGAGTTGGTGTTGTCATTTGCCGCATTTCGGATTTTCGTGTGTTGTTATATTTTCTTTTTCGAGTTTGTTGGTGGTAACTACTTATTTGCTTTCAGTAATAATGTTTATTTTTTCTTAGAAAATAAAAATAATAAATCATAAACATTTTAGACATTCCCTCTCCCTTGATGAAACTATAGAGTAATGTGTATTTTAATGCCTATAAATAAAGAGTTTTATTAGAAAATTATAATGGTTTTTTTTTTTTTGAAATGTGGGTTAAAATTATATTAGGTGTTGCTTGCATGTGATGAAAAGTGAACCTTTGTGGATTTCACCTGTTAATGTGTTAGAGAGTTTACTAGAAATATTATCTGTATCTCATTTTACCTTGTAGTTCTTAGGAAGAATGCCATTACCTTGTGCAATATTAAATTATTCATGTCATGGGTTGCTCAAATTTCATCTCTATCAAGTGGTATCAGAGCTAAATACTATGGACACCAATAAAATATTATGAAAAGTTTGATGACTTCCTCCTCTCATCATAATATTTATTTATGCAATTAGCCGTGCTTCCCAAATTCTCCCTCTTGACTCCATTTTCTTTACAAAATTTTGAATTTTCTTTATCATCAACCTTACAATGAAATAGGAGCTTGAAGACCATCTTGGGTTAATTTTTAGTGAGTTGCAATTTCATCTAATAAGACAATTTGTCTGTCTTTTATTTTGTAGAGTTCCACTTGGCCTTTTACAAACTTTTATATGCTTCTTCCCTTTAAATCATAAGGGAAAATTTAGGAAATGATGATTAACTGGTGTTGATTCTTGATGACTTTCAACCCTTCTTGAAAATTTGATTGGGATGAATAACTTAATTCTTTTAAATTGAATTAAGAAATTATCTTAGTTTGCTTACAATTTAATTACTTTCTTATTTTTGCCTTCTTAGTTTTTGCTTGTAGCCTATGATGTACAGACATCCCTAATTAAGAAAGTGCAGTGTAGAACGTAAACACTACTCTGACACATGTGAGACATGAGATAGAAGTGTCTAATTTAAATAATATTTAAAAAAATGACATATGTGCCGTAAATTAACGAATTACAATTTTTTTAAAATATTTTTAAACATATCTTTCTAAAATTAAAATTTTAAAGAAATTATTCTATTTTTTTATTTAATCCTAAACTTATCTTAATATAATACAAAACAATTAATTTTTACTTTTTCTATATCATAAACTAAACAATATTTATGAATCTTAGTTTTTTGAAAGTTAATGTTATTAAATTTCTTATTATCTATTTTTTATTAATCTCAACGTTCTCTTTATTTATTTTTTTATCTATTTTTTTGAATTTATATTTGGAAAATTTACATCAAAATCACTCAATTCTTATATAATTGCATATCTAAGGCTGATAG